GGTCCAGGCCCGGTCCTGGCGCTCGGACGCGGGAGGAGGGGGCCGCGGACGGGCCCCGGGGCGCGGCCCCTCCCAGCAAGCACTGCGCCCTCAGTTCCACCTCCCACGGCCGGGAATCCAAGTCGGCTGGTGGCGCTGGCCTGTGCTGGACGCGGGCTGGCCCGAGGGTGTGACTGGGGGGACCCGCCCGCCCCGCCCCGGGCGGCCGACAGAGCCGGGCCTGACCGGGCATCTCATCCCGGGGGGAGAGGGGACGCTGCGAACACTGGACACTGGGGGCCGCTGGACGCTGGGGGCCGGTGGACGCTGGGGCCGCTGGACACTGGGGGCGCTGGACACTGGGGGCCGCTGGGGACAAGGACCATTTATGATTCAGCACAAAAATAATGAAAGGGCCAGCACATGGGCAGCGGCCCTGACAGCCAGACACTGAGAGTTCGCAGTTCTCACTGTCAGCCTGTGCAGGGTCAGGCCCGGCCTCCTGCCTTGAAGCCGCTGACCCCCCAGGACAGTGACCCATCAGAGGACAGCCAGGGTCAAGGCCAGAGGGACCCCCTGAGCCAGGACTTGGCAGTGAGCCGGGGTAAGTCAGCTTTCCAGGCTGACAGAACCTCTGAGATTCTCTGCTTAAGAGACCCACAATCTCAAAGGCAGTCAACACATGGAGGGCATCTCCCATGGCCAGGAAGGAAGGTGAACATTTTATACCCCAATGACACTTTAAGGAGCTTTAGGGACGGGTTGGGTTACACACACACACACACACACACATACACACACACCCCAAATAAAAAGAAACAGGGCAATTCCTAAAATATGAGATGATACTTAGCATCCTCACTCCCTGCTACTGACTTTGAGATTCTTTGATGAGTCTAGCTCATATAGAAAATAATCCTATCCTCACAATACTCTGGTTGAACAAGGTAAGACTGCTCCCAACCAAGAGCACCAAGGAGCGGGGTCGGCACTAGACACACGTCAAATGCCACCTGGTTTTGCTTCATGTAAAGGAGTCCATTTCCCTGCCTGTCCTACAATGATACAATCATGTCATCACAGTAATACTCCTTTCTGTCCATAAGTTTGGCCCAAAGGCCCAATTTTATTCCTAGATTAACTCCTTCACTTCAAGCACTGTTACAAATCTCTTTATATGCCTCAGAGCATATAGTACAGTGACAAGTGGGGTTTTTTGTTTGGTTGGGGTGTTTTTGTTTTTGTTTTGCCATTCCTGGGGCCCGAACTCAGGGTCTAGATGCTGTTCCTCAGCTTCTTTTGCTCAAGGCTAGCCATTTCTGGCTTTTTATGTTAATGTGGTACTGAAGAGTTGAACCCAGGGCATCACACATGCTAGGCAAGCACTCTAAGCCACATTCCCAGCCCTGAGATGAGTGTTTTTAAAAATATGCCACAAGCTGGGTGCTGGTGGCCCATGCCTGTAATCCTAGCTACTCAGGAGGCTGAGATCTGAAGATCGTGGTTCAAATCCAGCCCCGGCAGGAAAGTCCATGAGACTCTTATCTCCAATTAACCACCAGAAAAAGCTGGAAGAGGTGCTGTGGCTCAAGTTGTAGAGCACTTGCCTTGAGCTGAAGTGCTCAAGGACAGTGTTCAGGCCCAGAGTTCAAGTCCCACGACCAACAAAAAAGATAAAAATAAAAGCATGCCACAGCTATGGGTGGTGGCTCCTACCTGTAATCGTAACTACACAGGAGACGAAGTTCTGAGCATCATGGTTGACAACCAGAGCCTGGATAGAATCTCCAGTTAACCCAAAGAAAATCTAAACTCAACATGTGGTTCAAGTGGCTCACTCAAGAGTGCCAAGGGGCCTCCAGTACTAGCTTTAATACTTAATGCGCTCTCTCTCTCTCTCTCTCTCTCTCTCTCTCACACACACACACACACACACAATGTGAGCAAAAAGGATTGGAGGTATATCTCCAAGGTAGAACAGCTGCCTTGCAAGCATGAAGCCCTGAATTCAACCTGTAGTACCCAGCCAAAAACAACAAAAGGCATTTTAAATCCTGTTCCATGTGTCATCTCCAGAGACATTGAGAAGTTACTGCTGAATTGCTGTATGTCTGTGAGTAGCATCTGAGTGCACCATTCCAAAGAGGCTAGAAAGCTATTGCTTTAAAATAGTCATCAAGAAGGGAAGTCCAGAACTTTCCTTCCTCACACATTTTCATTGACAGTTCTTCCCAATACCTAACCTATTGTTGCTACTTGTGTTTTAATATGCTGGCTCTTGATGTATTCCTGAAGAGGAAATTAGGACGAACAGCTCACCAGTGCCTTTCACAATAGCAACATGAGCTGGCAGGGCCATGTCCCAGGTAGGGACTGAACCTGCGATGAAAGCTTCCCCCTGTGGTTGCTATAGACGCAACGAAACATGGCAAGGACGGGTCAGGCAAATAGCTTCTATGAAGAAAGGGATTTCACAAAACCATGATCTAAGCACAGCTTAGAAGTCAAGACCTTGCTCAAGGAAAGAAGTTTATTTGGAGCAGTGTTACCCTCTTGATTTTTATGTTGTTTTGCTTCACTTATATTTTATAAACAGGGGCATAAACTGCCAGGGTTGGAAACAGAGGCTTTTGTTCACCCTGGGAACTTCGTTTAGTGATGGGCAATGAATCTGGGATGGTTTTGCATCTAGAAATAAAAAAGCTGTCCACAATAAGGAAGGAAGAGACTTGTACATTTCAGCAGCTATAAAAGTTCAGAACAACCCCCACACAAGACTCGTCTGACACTTCACAGCCTCTGCGGCCCCTGCCTCCCCCGAAAGGAGGCTCTCCTCCAAATACACAGTCTTGTCCTCAAAAAGTAAACTAATGTGGGCAGAGTGTGGTGGTGCACATCTTTAGTCCTAGCTACTCCACAGGAATATGAAGGAGGCTAGTCTGGGATGAAGTTCAGACCCTAACTGAAAAAACAACAAGCAAAATGGCAGAGCCCCTGCTGGGAGCACAAGAGTCTGCGTTCAAACCTCAGCACTGCCAGAAAAGAAGGAAGAAAGGGTATAGCCGGGCATTGGTGGCTGCAGCTACTCAGGAGGCAGAGATCTGTGGATCATGGTTCAAAGCCAGCCAGGGCAGGAAAAACTGTGAGATTCATTTCCAGTAAACCACCAGAAAGCCGGCAGTGGCGCTGTGGCTCAAGTGGTAGCTCAAGTGAAGAGCTGAGGGACAGCACCCAGGCCCAGAGTTCAGGCCCCACAACTGGACCCAAAAAAAAAAAGAAAGAAAAGAAAAGAAAAGAAAATCAATAGGCCTTAACAAATGTTGTCATCCTTGCGTCTACTAGTATTAAGACTGGCCAATAGGCAGGCCAGGAACTGCCTACACAGCATGCTTGAGAGTCATCAGAAAGATACTTCTTGAGGGTAGGTAGGAGCCTGGTCAAGGCCAGCTCCAGCTGAAAGCATGACAGTGCCAGTGGTTCAGCCCTGTCATCCTAGCTACTCAGGAGGCTGACATCTGAGAATCATGGTTTAAAGCCAGCCCAGGCAGGAAAAGTCATGACATTCTTATTTCCAATTAACCACCAAAAAGCCAGACATGGATCTGTGGCTCAAGTGGCAGAGAGCTAGCCTTGAGAAAAAAAAAAAAAAAAAAGCTCAGGGACAGTGCTCAGGCCCTGAGTTCAAGCCCCAGGCCTGGCAAAAAAAGAAAATCATAGGCCTCAACAGATTTTGTCATCTTTGTGTCCATTAGGCAGTAGGCAGGCCAGGAACCGTCTACACAGCATGCTCTGAGATACTTCTTGAGGGCTGAGCAGAGTAAACCATCCACATAATGCTGGTGGTGCGGGCGGTTAGACAGTCGGTAGGATATTGTGATCCAGGCCAGCATGACAACTCGGTGAGGTGCCAGTGGCTCAGCCCTGTCATCCTAGCTACTCAGGAGACTGACATCTGAGAATCATGGTTTAAAGCCAGCCCAGGCAGGAAAAGTCTTAACATTCTTATCTCTAATTAACCACCAAAAAGCCAGACATGGACCTGTCTGTGGTCATAGATCCCTAACCTTGAGCAAAAACAGCTCAGGGACAGTACCAGCGCTAGCCCTGAGCAAAAAAAAAAAAATGCTCAGGGACAGTGCCCAGGCCCTGAGTTCAAGGCCCAGGACTGATTAACAACAACAACAAAGCATGAAATACTATCTGAAAAATAACCAAAGCAAAAAGAGCTAGGGACATAGCTCAAGTGGTATAAACCCCAGTACAGTCCAAAACAAAGACAGTTCTGCCTTAACCCTTATCTCAAGGTGCCTAGAAATTTGTAATTAAATAGTATTCATTATGTTAAGGACATGGCTCAAGTGACAGAGTGCTTGCTTAGGAAGTTCAAGGACCTGAGTTCAATCCCGGGGACCACACACACAATGTAGCTTGTTTTAATACCATCAAACACCTCTGAAAGGAAAGATAAACAATAGCAGGAGTTACCTGTGGAAAGTGATTTGGAGCTTGGAGGCCCAAGTTGGGATGGAGACTTGAGTCCAAGGGGAGGCCCAAGTTGGGAGGGAGAAGAACCCTCTATCATTCCTTCTCATTATCACTGAAATCTCTATCATGTATACACAAAAGGAACTCTTCTTTTAGTTTAAATTTAGTACCCTCATTACTACAATGCAATCACCAAAACAAGGAAAAAACAGCTCTAACTACATGGATACTTAAACTATCATGATGACAAAATTCAGTGTAAACCTTAACAATGTATCCATTTAAAATAACTGTATTTGGAAATTGACTGTTATAATCATGAGGAATAAAACAATTAGTATTGATAACCTGATCACAAGATGGCTTAGAGGAGAGTTTTTCCTAAATTTACATTTGATATCAGTTGAACTTTTATGAGGAACATACTGGTTTATGGACAGAAAAAAAGAATAACCTAAAACATTCCTGTGACTTTCCTCCTAGTCCAAGAATGGAGGGAAGGTCATTGTTTGCATTTCTGAACAAATTCCAACCTCCTCCCATCACAGATGGAAACCAAGTCCGGGAGCCAAGTCCAGGCAGGGTGAAACAGCCTAGTATGGTCTTGGCTCACAACAGTTCATCAATAACGTCTAGACACCTGCAGTCGAGCACGCAAGAGGCAGAGTCAGGCAGATCGGCAGCTCAAAGCCAGTCTAGCTACAGAGTAGATTCTGCACAGGTATAACCTGTTTTCCCAGTGCACCACCAGCAAGAACTTAGGAACAAGATTTCTGCTCTGAAGGTCACGGCAATCTGAAGTCATCTCACCTGCTGTCCTTGCTCTTTTTACTCCTCCCCAATAATCAATTCTTTTTCCTTTTCATCTCTCCAGATGTTGCCACAGAGGGCAGTCATTTCACACACAAAAAGGGTAATCACAAAGCGAAGGAGAATGTCACAACAAAATATCACCAAAAGTGGATCTTGAGCACCTGGCTCTGACCACATTTGATATCCGTTAGACACGATAAAACAACGGTGGAAAAGAAAGTCATGCTGGTGGTTGAGCTACTGTGTTTCCTTTTCTTCCAGATATGTGCAGAGGACAGATGACTGTCTAGAACCTAAGACTTCATCCTCATGTAAATTCTTGCCCCAGGATGGAAGGAGAATCTTACCACAATGCAACCACGGGAGAAGACCCGCCTTCAGAACCCCGGGGGCTGTGGGAAGTCGTCACCATCGCCGTGGTGACGGCTGCAGTCAGCCTGATCACCGTGGTGGGCAACGTCTTGGTCATGATCTCCTTTAAAGTCAACAGTCAGCTGAAGACAGTTAACAACTATTACCTGCTCAGCTTGGCGTGTGCAGACCTCATCATTGGGGTCTTCTCCATGAACCTCTACACCACCTACATCCTCATGGGACGCTGGGTTCTCGGCAGTCTGGCCTGCGACCTTTGGCTGGCCCTGGACTACGTGGCCAGCAACGCTTCTGTCATGAACCTGCTAGTAATAAGTTTTGACCGATACTTTTCTATCACAAGACCCCTGACGTACCGGGCCAAGCGTACCCCGAAGAGGGCTGGCACCATGATCGGCCTGGCCTGGCTCATCTCCTTCCTCCTCTGGGCCCCAGTAATCCTCTGCTGGCAGTACCTGGTTGGGAAGCGGACGGTGCCACCAGACCAATGTCAGATCCAGTTCCTCTCCGAGCCCACCATCACATTTGGCACGGCCATCGCGGCGTTCTATATCCCTGTTTCCGTCATGACTATCCTCTACTGCCGAATCTACCGGGAGACGGAGAAGCGAACCAAGGACCTGGCTGACCTCCAGGGCTCTGATTCTGCGGGCCAGTCTGAGAAGAGGAAGCCGGCCCCCACGGGTCTGCTCCCGAGCTGCTGTGGTGGCCCAGGGCCCACCCCGGCCCAGAGAGGGAGGAGCCGGGCCTCCTGGTCACCCTCCCGCAGGAGCTCCTCCACCCCAGCGAAGCCATCCCAAGCCCCTGGCCCAGGCACTCACTGGGCCAGAACCGAGCAGCCCACGAGCTGCAGTAGCTACGCCTCCGAGGAGGAGCAGAACAAGCCGCCTGCTCAGCCTGTCTTCCAAGTGGTCTACAAGAGCCAGGCCAAGGAAAGCCCAGGGGAAGAATTTGGTGCTGAAGAAGAGATCAAAGAAACGAGAGCTCAAACTGAAAACAGTGACTGCCACACCCCAAAATACTTCCTGTCCACAGCAGCAACTCACAGACTCAACAATCAGAAATGCATCGCCTATAAGTTCCGGTTGGTGGTAAAGGCTGATGGGACCCAGGAGACCAACAATGGCTGTCGCAAGGTAAAAATCATGCCTTGCTCCTTGCCAAGGCCCAAGCACGCTTCGGCCAAAGGCCTGGACCCCAACCTCAGCCATCAAATGACCAAAAGGAAGAGAATGGTCCTTGTCAAAGAGAGGAAAGCAGCCCAGACCTTGAGTGCCATCCTCCTGGCCTTCATCCTCACATGGACCCCGTACAACATCATGGTTCTGGTGTCTACGTTCTGTGACAAGTGCGTCCCCTCCGCCCTGTGGCACCTGGGTTACTGGCTGTGCTATGTCAACAGCACAGTCAACCCCGTCTGCTACGCACTCTGCAACCAAACCTTCAGGAAGACCTTCAAGATGCTGCTTCTCTGCCGCTGGAAACAGAACAAGGGAGAAGAAAAGCTGTACTGGCAAGGGAACAGCAAGCTACCCTGAAGCGCCAACAGCTTCCTCAAAAGCAGGACCACAGTCTGGTTCGCTGATTGTATTCAGAGTCTGCTGTCATTTGGAGTCCCTGAAACATTTAACGACACAAGGTCTGCTTGATGCCAAAGGGTCACAGCCATACCCACGGCTGCCTGACACCTCTAACATCTGCCAGTGAAGCAGAGACAGGCTCCAGAGCCTTCACACTTGAGTCACATGGACAATGACCAGAGACCACATGGAAACTGATCCTAAAAGTTTTGTGCAGTATGTTTGTGTCTATGCAGTTGTCTTCTTCCAGTGAAAATGAGAATGTAAGTCGGTAGTACCTATGAGAGTGCCGGTCGACCGGCTTCCAAGGGTATATTTTTTTCGTAAGTCATGAGTATCTATGCTGCTGCTCTGGTGTGACCTGTACTGTGGTGTGTTTTCTTGCCTTCATCAAGTGAAGCTCTTGCTTTTCCCTCTGAGCCCACTGACACCCTGTGAGGCTCCCCAGAACCACCTTTCCTCTCAGAAGCGGGGGTCCAGAGGACCTGAGCCTGGTCAGACCCGGTGCTTCACAGTGGCCGGGGGAATTTTTCCATTTTCTCTAAACCAACATTGTGTGGAGTACTTAGTGCCCATCTGAAGTCATTCATCCGCTGCAGTCTTAGGGGGAGTTGTGTAAGAAAATGAACAAAGATCTGCTGGGTGGTCCAGCATGTGCAAGGCCCCGGACTGGACCCCCAGCACTAGAGCAAAAACAAAACCCAAAAGCTTCTATCACAGTAATTCATGAACATTAAAGCTATAAACGTGCTTAGAACATTAAGAGTATTAAAAACCAAAGTTAGCTGAAGTCTATATTTAAATGGACTAGAACTGAGATAAGCACAGTGTGAAGAGTACTTGCCTAGGATGCTTGAGGTCTTAGGTTCAATACCAGTATCAGAAAAAAACAAAACCAAACTCAACATGCTCATTTGCTGACGCTAAAAATGAACAAACGTGTGAGAAATTGAAAACACAGAGCATAAAAGATTCACAGAAAGAAGCAGTATAGTGATACCAATTAATCTGAAGATGGAATGCTCCTGCCAGACACTGATTGCATTTGCAGATGGATTTTAAACCTCTAGGCTTAAGCTGTGTGCAGCAGCACACACCTGGACGGTGCACACACTTGGGCCCTGGAGGCAGGTGGGTGGGCCATTCTCTCAAGAAGAAAATAAGTAATCTCTAGACTTCATTGAATGTAGGCCAGCTCTTCTCAACTTCATTTACCACAATGGTGGAAGAAAGAGCTGGCTGTTTTCCTGAGAACTAGGTAAATACCTAGTTCTCACCTCACCTCCTACCGGTGAGGAGCTGTGTCAAGCCTGAGTGCCAAGGAGGCTGCCAGCAGGACAAGGCCAGTCAACCCTCACCTGTCCTCCTGCCCTACAGCCACTCAGCACTGAGAAACAGCTTAGATGCACCATGGCAGCTGAGCCTTTGTGAAGGGTAGGCCGACATCTACCAAGAGTTTAGTAGAAAATACTCACTGGCTCCATTCTCTAGGACAGCGGCTGCCTATGGGACAACAGGTGTGACCACAAGAGCAGTTCACTCTTCATGTAAGGCAACAATAAAAATCCGCCCACAGAAACAGCATGGTAAGCCCACATTGGGCAGACAGCCTCACCAAAGAACAGAGAGCTGGAGTGGGAGGTTTTTGTTCCTTTTTTTTTTTTGGTCTTTTTTTGTCCGTCGTGGGGCCTGAACTCTGGGCCTGGGCGCTGTCCCTCAGCTCTTCAGCTCAAGGCTAGCGCTCTACCACTTGAGCCGCAGCGCCACTTCTGACCTTCTTCTGTTTATGTGGCGCTGAGGGATCAAACCCAGGGCCTCATGCATGCAAGGCAAGCGCTCTACCACTGGGCCACCTTCCCAATCCTCTTTTGTTCCTTTTTTATGAAATTAACACTTAAAGTCAGCCAGTTTTGTCTACGCATATTGACATGAACAAAAACCATGGCTCATCAAGCCTGGGGTGAAGTCCTCAGAATGAACAGACCCCACGGACAGAAGGGTGTGGTCTGGCCTCACCTCCTGTTTCCTGCGCCCCTACTTCTCCAGCTCAGCCTGCACTCGCTTTTATACTGGATGTTGTGTTGCTACCGATGTGACTTGTTTCTCCTTGGCTGTGAACTTGATAACCAGTCATAGGATCTTTATTCTCCATACATGCTTTGCTTAAACAAAGACTGCTGTCAATGATTCTGGCCTTTGATTAGCTCCTTGGTGAGAGTCCTCTGAGGACAAGCTGTTGTTGGCATTTTGTAACTGTGAAATTTGTTCCTAAACCTCTGGATTGCACTACCCAGTCATCTGCTGTAAATACCAGAATTACAGCAAAACATTTGTATTGTACTAGCATTGATCTGGATATTAAAGGGATGTAATCACACAGTGCTCTAAGGCAGTGTTTAAATAAGAAAATGAAAGACGGGCACCAGTAACTCACGCCTGTAATCCTAGCTTCTCTGGAGGAGCTCTGAGGATTGCCGTTCAAAGCCAGTCCAGGTAGGAAAGTTCCATGAGACTCTTTTCTCCAATTAACCACTGAAAAGCCTAAAGTGGAGCTGGCCTTGAGCTGAAGAGCTCAGGGACAGTGCCCAAGCCCAGAGTTCAGGCCCCACGACTGACAAAAAAAAGAAAGAAACAAGTTCAAAAACACAAGATAACTTAATCTCTGGATTAAGATTTTTAATATATGTAATGTATAGCATTTCATATAATTTATTTATGTCATTTTCTTCAGGACACTGTAATTAATTCAGTGACATTAATATTGACCTCATATAGACAAAGATGAAAGCTGGGTTTTCTTGTGTACCAAGTACAAAACACATGTGTGAAAAAGTTAACATCCACAACAGTGGCATGAGATCAACTTCCAGGACGACTCAAGTTTACAGCAGTTGCTCCGCTAGGTTCCCCAACAGGGCTGGATGCCCCCAGGCTGCTGTCTGGGCGAATGACTGACAGCAGTGACCCACCTGACTACCTCCTTTTGCCAGCTCCACTTTTGCCGGTTTTACTGCTGCCACTGCTAGATTTGCCAGATGATTTTGAAGAGAAGAGTCTTGTCATGAACTCGGAAACATCCGGCAGTTCGTGGTTAGAGTTCAACATGTTCATGGACTGCTCCATCTCCTGCAAGGAGACAGAGCACAGACACTGACAGGCCTGGGACACCGCACCGCTCTGCGCCTCTCCGCGCAGCGCCCCGCCCCCTAGGCTTCTCTGCACTATCTGAGGAGGAGGGAGAGAGTAGATCAAGAAAGAGGTAATAGTTCTGAGCAACAGTGCCATGCTATGCTCCAAAGTTCTGTACTGAGGCTGGCACCATGGTACAGCGCTTGCCTGGTGGTGGGCCCTGACTTTGAGCCCCAGCACCAATGAAACAATAATAAAAATAAAAAGCATTTTAGGAGGTGGGAAGGTGGCTTAGTGGTATTAGTGCTTGCCTCGCATGCATGAAGCCCTGAGTTCAATTCCTTAATACCACCTAAACAGAAAAAGCAGCAAGTGGCACTGTGGTTCAAGTAGTAGAGCTCTAGCCTTGAGCAAAAGAAGCTGAAGCCCTGAGTTCAAGCCCCAGAACTGGGGGGCGGAGCAGGGGGGAAGCATTTTACCTGAACACTATTGGTAATAGTGTCCCCTACCACCTTTATACCACTAAGCATGTTGGTCCTTAATGACTGTCTAATGAATGCTTGCCTGTGGTTTTACTCAGCTTATACTTTAGTAAACTTTTTTTTCTGACAGACAGTAATCGTATTCCTGTCTTTTTTGTTTTGCTTCTGCAATACTGGAGTTTGAATTCAGGGTCCTACACTTGCAAGGACAGTGCTCCACCACTGGAGTCTGGAGCTCTGCCTCCTGCCCCTTATGCTTCAATTATCCCTCAGGTAGGGATAATTGTTCCTGCCCTGGCCAGCTTCAGCTCTCAATCTTCCCACCCACCGCACATCTGGATTATTTATTAAGATGGGTTCTAGTCCAGGCTAGCCTCAAACCACAATCTCTCAGATCTTTTTTTTTTTTTTGGTAGGTCATGGGTCTTGAACTCTGGGCCTGGGCGTTGTCCCTGTGCTCTTCAGCTCAAGGCAAGTGCTCTACCACTTGAGCCATAGTGCCACTGGTTTTCTGGTGGTTTATTGGAGATAAGAGATTCACAGACTTTCCTGCCCAGGCTAGCTTTGAACTGTGATCCTCAGATCTCAGCTTCCTGAGTAGCTAGGATGACAGGCATGAACCACTAGCTTCCAGCAATCTCTGAGATCTTGGCGTCCAGAGTAGCTGAGATCATAAGCCTGAGCCACTGAACCTTGTCTTAACATTCAGTATTCTTTTTTCTTTGAGACGGGGTCATGCAAGGTACTCCATGTTTATCTTAAATTTATCTTAAATTTGTACTTCTCCTGTCTCAGTCTTCCAAATGCTAGGATTACAAGCATGTACTACAGTGTCCAGTAAGGTCATGCTTTCAGATATATAAAACCAAAGCATCAAACACTAAATACCACGTTACCACACAGGTTTGAAAGGTAACTGTAGTAATTTTAAGACTGATTCCTAAGTTTTAGTAAAAACTCTATGAATGCTTTTTTTTTGGGGGGGTCCAGTCGTGGGCCCTGAACTCTGGGCCTGGGCGCTGTCCCTCAGCTCTTCAGCTCAAGGCGAGCGCTCTACCACTTGAGCCACAGCGCCACTTCCGGCTTTTTTCTTTTTGCTTATGTGGTGCTGAGGAATCGAACCCAGGGCCTCAAGCATGCAAAGCAAGTGCTCTACCACTGAGCCACCTTCCCAGCCCCTATGAATACTTCTTATGTGTAGTCAGTTACAGTATCTAAAGCAAGCAACACCAAGGTCACAAAGCAAGATACTGGCGTGACAGCAGAAGGCTTTGGCACTTCTGAGGTCTGTGATTACCTTAAAGCTAACAATTTTGAAAGACATTAAAAAACCCAATAAGCAAATACTACATTGTCTATCATTTCAAGTGGGAAACGAGTCTGAGATGGCTCTTCCCACAAAAGCAGAATTTATTCATAGACTTTAAACACAAAGGTGCTTTTATAAGTGAGGCAGAGAAAAAAAATGATCAAGAATGAATCTATATGGTAATAGGTCTTGAATCATACAAAACTGGTGTTATCAACTCTAAAGTGAATGCTCAATTCTAAAGCTTTTTCAGTCAACAACTTTTTATATTGCCTACTAGGGGCAAAGTACTGTGCAAAAAATTAGCTTTTCTACTCAAGACTAGTACTATAACCAGTTGAGCCACAGCTTCTCATCTGGCATTTTGCTAGTGAGTTAGAGATAAGAGTCTCTTGGGCTTTCCTGCCCAGGCTGGCTGACCTCAATCCTCAGATCTCAGCCTCCTGAGTAGTTATATGGATGACAAACACTGGGCAATAAGCTTACCCGTCTCATGTCAGGATCACTTGTGTTGACTACTTTCGGCAGAAGCACAAATATTAATAGTGGAAGAACCATCATCATAACCTATAGAAGGAAAAAAAAATCAGGCTATTTATCCCCCATTTTACAGTTTGCAAAATAAATGGCATTTAAGATGCAATGATAAAATTAAAGACTCCACTGTGTGCACAGCATAGAACTTGTAGCAATCACCTCAATTCTACCCAGCTAGTTGACTGCAAGATGCTACCTGTCTGACTGCCGTAGAATATCTCAGAGTGAAGAGTCTTGTGTATGTGTGTTTGGTCTATATTGACATCCTACTTGTTTGTTTCCTTCTTCCTGAAATCTGGCATTGGGAATGGGACCTCAATGAAATGACTATGTGATCTTGGAGAAAACACTGTCTTACACTGCTCATCAAAAAACATCCTATGGAGCCTGTAATAAATACATTTTTTCAGTTTTGAAAATGACATCAACTCCTTTAGTACTGCATACAATTGTTTAATTTCAGAATATAGGGCTAGAGCTCAAGTGGTAGATGCCCTGAGTTTCTACCAGAGTATCCTTAGTACCACCAGACAGGAGGAGGGAGAGAGAGAGAGAAGGAGAGAGAAGGAATGAAGAGGAGGGAAAGGAGGAGGGGAGAAGGGATCAAGGGGAGAAAGGATGAGGAGCAGGGGAGGTGGAGGGAGAGTCTACATGCATACAAGCTGGAGCAAACACGAAAATAAAGCTTTAAGTTTCATCGCTGATTTCTTCCATTCTACCTACCCTCCCACCTTTCTCTCTCTGATAACAGATTCTAGTTATCCCAGTCTAGAAGTTCTACAACTCCTAGTCTTATGATCTAAACAGTTATCAGTAAGAAGTACAATCAAAATTTAGACAATTACAAGATAATAATTTAATTGCAAAAGCAGCTAAAAAATTTGTTTCTGAAGAATGTATTGTTTTATTAGAAGCGACTCATATCAGTGTTGTGATGTTAAAATCTCTTTTCCCTACCTATCTGCCATCACAGGGCTGCTTAGTAACTCATTTATCAATGCACTAAAACACAAATATACAAATTGTGGGTGCGGGAGCACCACACATGATTTACTTCACACTCAATTTCAATTAAAAACCTTCATCAAAAGTATCCAATTTCAAATCTACAGTAGAATTCTCACTGTCAGTATTTTCCCCATCTCACAGGAGCTTGAAGTTTCCAACTGGCTAAAGCAAACCAAGGATTACGAGATGAGTTAGCATCATACATACCATTGGGTTCATCAGGAAGTCTGTCCAGCCCCAGGACTCCCTTTTAATGAAGTAGGAAGGGGGGCCTGAAGACTTCATTTGAAGAGGGTAGGGAAGTCGCACCACTTCAGATGTCTTGATGTAATTCACATATCTTGCTCTGACAAAGAAGCACCATAAAAGCACCCATAATTCTACTAACAGGATGAGAGCTGGGACATAGACAAGTGGCAGCTACATGCCAGCCTAATTATGCTTTGCACCTTCTAAAGAGGTGGCTGGGATAACAACCCTTCCACCCCAACACGGTTCCTGCAGTTACCTGGTCTGTGCTTTACTGAAGTACCATACAGTAGTCTGTGAACTGACAGAAGACATTACCCCTTAAAACTGTTCCACAAACTTCATGGTCAGATAAGACCCAAGGAAGATGCTAGTGCCCTTGCCATGAGACAATAAAATGAACAAATAAATTTGTTCTGCTTCAGTGAAGGCAGACTCTGAAAACTAGACATCCACACAATCATTCCAACCTCAAATGGGTTTTGCTGTTCCACATTCACAGCCTTCATTAAACCAAAGTTCTGTTCACCTCAATAATTTCAAAACCATGTTCATTTAACTTAGAAACTCAGAAATTCATCCAGGCATGGTGGCACAAGCCTGTAATCTCAGCCAAGGCAGGAGGATCCCAAATTCAAGGCTAAGATTACCTATCAAGACCCTGATTTAAAAATGAAAATTCTGGGGCTGGGAAAGTGGCTCAGTGGTAGAGCGCTTGCCTTGCATGCATGAGGCTCTGGGTTTGATTCCTAAGTGCCACATAAGCAGAAAAAGCCGGAAGTGGCGCTGTGGCTCAAGTGGTAGAGTGCTAACCTTGAGCTGAAGAGCTGAGGGACAGCACCCAGGCCCAGAGTTCAGGCCCCCGACTGACCAAAAAAAAGAAAAAAAGAAAAAAAGAAAATTTCTGAGATTCTTTTTTTACCCTCAAATACTTTCCTCCTTTTTCTTTACCATGATCCTCACGTTGAGACAAACTCCACAATGTAACCTATTGTTAGCCCTAGAAACACTACATTTCTATTGCATACTAAATATTCCTGAAAGGAGGAACTATAGAAATTTCTGGATCAATGCTGTATCACATCACAATATTAATGTTAGTATCAAAATATTTCAATGAAAAACAGGTGATGAGTAGTACTTCCAATTCAGAAAAGATAAATTATTCCTCAGTTAAAAAATTCCTATCTTGCTGGGTGCTGGTGGCTTCTACCTGTAATCCTACTCAGGAGGTTGAGATCTGAGGATCTCTGTTCAAAGCCAGCCTAGGCAGGAAAGTCTTTGAGATTCTTATCTCCAATTAAACACCAGAAAACCAGAAGTAAAGCTGTGGCTCACAGTGTTAGAGAGCTAGCCTTGAATGAAAGAGCTCAGGGACAGTTCTCAGGCCCTGAAGTCAAGCCCCACAAACAAAAAATAATAAAATAAAATAAAAAATTCAATCTTCAATTTACCTTTCAATTCTGAAAAGAATACATGCTGAAGGATTCAACAGCCTAGCCTTTGACAGAAACAAATCAGGTGCCCTCACCTCATTTTTCCCTTTGAAGTGATGTCCACTCGGACAGGATCAAACTTGTAAGCCGGAGAAATAACCTCCACAACATACGATCCAGAAGGCACATCGTGAACCACAAAGCTCCCATCTGTCCTGGAAAAACGAAAGTCATATTTAGACCCAGTGAAAGGCTGTTTGTAAATCATCTATTAATACCCAAAACAATACTCAAACCACCACCACCAACAACAAAAAATAATTAGAAATAACTACAAAGAGGAGGAGATGGAGGAGGAAGAAGAGGAACAGGAGCTGGGGGGAGGGAGGGACAATAGCTCACACCTATAATCCTAGCTATTCAGGAGCTGAGATGTGATGATCACAGTTCAAAGCCAGCCAGGGGAAGAAAAGTCCATGAAACTCCCATCTCCAATTAACCAGCAAAAAACTGGAAGTAAAGATGTGGCTGAATTCAAAGCCTAGTTCAGGCACAAATAAATAATGATGAATAAGTTTTTCCAAATGTATAGTATTCCCCAAATATATAGTAAAGCAAAACAGAATCAAACTGTAAACCTCGAGTTAATTTGTTCTTGGGTTGGACAACCTGTCATTTGCCCTTCTCTTTGCAGACTGCCTTTGTATACTGCCTCCTCCATCATCTCACAGAGGCTAGCTCAGGGCGCAGGTCATCGCAAGGCCCTCCTCTCCTTTACAGGTTCTCTCTCCCTCAGGCAGGAGGCAATAAAGCCAGAACTACACCGTTCAATGCTTTCCTTGACTCTGAATTGTAATTTGAATGCATCTTGCTCTGTGGCCCATGCTGGCATCCCGCTTCTCTGCCTCCGGAGCACTGGGCATGGGTAGGCACCACCATACACAGCTATCTTGTTTCTTCACAGTCACACCCAGTTATCTTCTGTTTCTTTACAACCATACCCAGCTATCTTCTGTTTCTTCATGGAACCCTAACTGAACCAATTTTAAAATATTTTCTTCATCCAGAAAAAACTACAATTCCACTAAACTGATGATTGTATAACACACACACACAAAAAAAAATCAAAACAAATTTTTTTTTTTTTGGGTCTGGTTGTGGGGCCTGAACTCTGGGTCTGGGCGCTGTCCCTCAGCTCTTCAGCTCAAGGCTACCCCCTACTTGAGCCACAGCGCCACTTCCGGCTTTTTTCTTTTTGCTTATGTGGTGCTGAGGAATCGAACCCAGGGCCTCAGGCATGTAAGGCAAGCGCTCTACTACTGAGCCGCCTTCCCAGTCCCTCAAAACAAATTTATGTTTCATTTTAGGTAAATACTTTACTTAAAGAGATAACACAAGTTTTATAATAAAAACATTTTAGTCAGGCGCTAGTGGCTCACATGTATAATCCTATCTATTCAGGCGGCTGAGATTTGAGGATCGCTGTTCAAATCTCACCATCTCAAAAAAAACCTGAAAACGACTTAAACAGCCCCAATATTATGGCTTATATACACAATAACACTAGTAAGAGATGGCATATGGTTTTAAGTCCCAAATCCCCTCAACTCCATGAGTCAGGTCTCAAGAGGCCTCCAAAAGTCCTGGCTATGAGCCACACCTGTGTATAGGTACTCAAAACAGCTATTACACAAATTACCCAATCCTCCTGCAACAAAATTGTCACCATAAATTCATCATGTTACTTCTATTAATTATTATATAAATAATGTAATGATTCTAGTGCTAATGCTAATGATGGCATTACAAATGTAAGAACATGAAGAATGTGAAATGGACTTACAAGTTCTTTACAAACATTAAATAAATGAAATAAAAATAAATAAAAACAGCAGAACATAAAGTATAAAACAGGTGAGATGATTCAGAAGAGTTTAACAGGCAGTAACAAAGCCGGGTGCTGGTGGCTCACGCCTGTAATCCTAGTTACTCAGGAGGCTGAGATCTGAGGATCGCGGTTCAAAGCCAGCCTGGGCAGACCGTGAGACTCCTATCTCCAATAAACCACCAGAAAACCGGAAGTGGCGCTGCGGCTCAAGGGGTAGAGCGCTGGCCTTGAGCTGAAGAGCTGAGGGACAGCGCCCAGGCCCGGAGCTCAGGCGCCAGGAACGACAAAAAAAAAAAAAATCTATTAAAAAATCTGACTCATGAATTTGGTATAATTCCTGTATTATGTTCAATGGTACAGAAAATAGCTTATTCCTAACTGGCCAGAATCAAACAGGGTGGCATCTATCAACTAGCAAAAACCAGCAACAAGGTATCATTTTCTTCAACAAAGACCTGGTCTGATTTGAGTGAAAAGTTCTGACGAGGCAGTTGGAAAAGGACTAATGTGTGGCAGCTCTAGAAAAAGATTTCTTTGCTGGGAGCTGGTGGCTCTCCTGTTATCCTAGCTACTCAGGAGTTTGAGATCTGAGGATCTCAGTTCAGAGCCAGCCTGGGCGGGAATATCTAGAGACTCATCTCCAGTTAATCACCAGAAAACTAGAAGTGGCACCACTGTGGCTCAAGTGGAAGAGCCCTAGCCTTGAGCTGAAGAGCTGAGGGACAGCGCCCAGGCCCAGAGTTCAAGACCCACTACTGACAAAAAAAAAAAAAAGACTTCTTCTAGACTGCTCTCAGGGGTGACCAGCTAACAGGAGGAGGACAGCTGGCTACTTGGTAGAGATGGTAAAAAAGAGATTATTATGGTTATACAGGACTGGAAGGGCTGACTTTAATCTTGAGGTTTTGTGATTCTTTATTTGGAATCTTAACAGCTGTTGTTTTCAACTGTTTGAGATTTTAATAATAGTAGTCATGGAAAAACCATCATTTCTCACATGCCAAGTGAAAAGACTAAACACACATGAAAGAGAATGCTAGCTGTTACCATTTAGTCTTTCAACAGAAAAAAAATATATGAGAGTTCCATTACAAGAACTCATACCGTGGGGCTGGGAAGGTGGCTCAGTGGTAGAGCGCTTGCCTTGCATGCCTGACGCCCTGGGTTCGATTCCTCAGCACCACATAAGCAAAAAGAATAAAAGCCGAAAGTGACGCTGTGGCTCAAGTGGTAGAATACTAATCTTGAGCACAAAGAGGCTCAGGGACAGTGCCAGACCTTGAGTTCAAGCCCCACAACCAACTAAAAACAAAAATAAGTAATCTAGTGAGCTCTTAGGAAGCTGTGTATGAAGGTTGAGCTTCATTTTTCAGCACCCTGCTTCACCTATGGTTTTTAGTCATAGCAACTTTCTTGAAGCAAAAAACGGTACGTTCATCAGGAGACTCACAAATGTTATGTCCACACATCTATAACAGTCACACAGTTTGAATTGTGGCATCTCAGCGGAGTGATTTCACCTTGGTGAGTCTGTTCCCTCACATGGAAATGGGAAGCAGAGTCCTTATGTCCAACTGTGCATCCTTTGTGATTAGCATGCACCCAGACAGACAAAGCAAGCACCCTGGCTCTGGTCAGGCTCACCACCTGAACTAGTTGGCACACCACTCACATGGTGTTTGGCCTGTGCCTAGCTAGCATGCAGAATTGATGGCATACAGTAAACAAAAACTTCAACATACCTTCATCACACCTGTTAGCACTGGGAATGTAAGTTTTCTTCTCTGGAAACTTTAAGAAAGCTGTACAACCAAAATAACTGGAAAAAAAAGGGATTTACATTCGTCTTTAACTTGTAGAAAAAATATTTTGAATTTGGAGTTCTGTTTTGTATATGTAATTCAACTACTGTTGAGATAATTGCTTGTTTGGTATCTTTAGCATATAATGGCCGTGTACATACATTTTTAAACTCTCTAAGTTACAAGTTACTCCGATAACTGCTAATAAATATTACTGGAATGCACTTCAAGTTGCACCACTGTATGTCAGCTGTTTTCTTCTTAAAAGATGGGACAAAAGATTAAGAGATAAACATAGCTGACTGGAAACCCATACCATATGTGACACGGCCAGCAGGGGTGTCAGCTGCTGCCTGCAGCTGAAGCAAACTATAAATATCTCAAAGTATTTGATTGCAAATATATAATGCAGTTTCTCAAATGTCACACTAGTTTTAGCTTTTTTTTTTTTTTTTTTTTGGTACTAGAGCTTGCACCTATACTCTCATTATACTTTTTTTTTCTGGGTCATGGAATTTGAACTCTGGGCCTGGGCACTGTCCCCCAGCTCTTCAGCTCAAGTCTAGTGCTCTACCACTTGAGCCACAGCGCCACTTCCAGTTTTCTGATGGTTAATTGGAAATAAGAGTCACACGGATATTCCTGCCCAAGCTGGCTTTGAACCACGATCCTCAGATCTCAGCCTTCTGCATAACTAGGATTACAGGCTGATATCTGACTTTTTGATACTCCAAAATTTAAAATGACACAGTATGTTAGAAATGTTATTTTGACTATATTACCCATGATTTTACTTATCTTCCTGTGTGGCGGTCAGGGTTCCTGTGACCATGAGCTGAATCTGTGTGGCCAACACCTGAGGGAGGGCACAATCTGTAGTCATGAAATTATTCTGAACAAACTTAAGAGGACCAGTTCATATCCTTAGCTACTCTCCAACCAAGTTACCCTACTCAAATGGTTAAATAAGAAGACTATGATAACAAATGAAATTAAAACAAAGAAAAGCTGTATTTCATCACCTTAAGTTTTCAGAGATGACACAGGTTTACAATTCAAATTCTCACATTCTGGAAGATGTCTTCTGAAATAATTCACCACTCAAACCAAGAGAGTGCAGTAATCTCGAATTAACCTCATCTAAGGATGTAATAACCAGTTACTGTAACCAATGCTCACTGTAAGGAAGCTGCATGAAAGAGGTATACAGAAACAACTTGTGTATGCAGGGGATGAAACTGATTGAATAGGGTGTAAATGGGTGTAAAGACCTAAAAGTGTAACTGTAACTGAGATCAGCCAATAAAAGAGAGAGCTCAGTGTAAGGTAACATTTTAACATGTTTATAGCAAGACTAGAATTCATAGCAATAGTCACTAACTAGGTAAATGTTAAACATGTACAGTTTTTAGAAACACTAAAAAGAAATTTGTATCTTTGTCCAGATGACTGTCAGCCTTATTGAAGAGGATAGCTGGGTGCCAATGATTCATACTTGTAACTAGCTACTCAGGAGGCTGAGATCTGAGGATCACCATTCAAAGCCAGCCCAGGCAGGGCAGTCTGTAAGACTCTTATCTCCAATTAAGCACCAAAAAAGCTAGAATTGGAGCTGTGGCTCAAGTGGTAGAGCACTAGCCTTGAGCAAAAAAGCTCAGGGACAGCACCTAGGCCCTGAGTTCAAGCCCCAGGACCTGCATAAAAAAGAGAAGGTAATATGAGCCACTAGTTGTGGTATCAAACTCCAATCACTTTCAAGATATGGAAGATTAAGAGTTGTAACAAAATTGTAGAACCAGGTTCAGATACTAACACTGGCATTTAAAAAAATGACCACAAGCTGGGTGCCAGTGATCCACATCTGTAATCCTAGCTACTCAGGAGGCTGAGATCAGAAGATCGAGGTTCAAAGCCAGCCTGGGCAGGAAAGTCCATGAGACTCTTATCACCTATAAGCCACTCAGAAAACTGTTAGTGGTGCTGCAGCTCAGGAGTGCTAGCCTTGAGCGAAGAGCAGAGGGACAGTGCCCAGGCCGAGTGCAAACCCCACGAGAAAGACCAGAAAAAAAAAAGAAATCATATACAGTTTTCTGGCATTCCATACTAACCATTAGAGGAGGTAGTAACATTAAGTTGGAAGTTAAAATACAAGGTCAGTTACCAGAACTGTAAACAATTCTAAATCACTGTATGTAATTCTTGAAAGCAAATGTAGTGAAAAAGAATTCGAATTCATATAAAAAAATCAGAATTAAAAAAGCAAAAAAATAGAAATATTTAGTGAATTTATACTCAAATAGAAGCAGTTTAAAGAACACAGAAACGAAAAATATT